TTTCATTTTTCTACATAAGAATCAACAATTTATTAATGCGGTGTCGTGTAGTAAATTTAATATTCTTATAATACTCACATTACATTACTTGTTTCAATATTTCCAGTACATTTAAATCGAGCCATTTCTTTCACACCACCTGACAAATACAACTTTCAACAAATGTACGAATGTACCTATTTATTAAATGCACAATACTCGTCATGATTACCGCACCTAAAGGCGTTCATAAAATATAATTTATTTATATCAATGTTTTTATACCATATTGCCAGTATAGGAACTATCTACTGTCTTTCCCAAAATTAAAGTAGTTAAAAGATAAACGAAAAATAACGAAAAATAATAATCACGAATTACAATTTATGATGACGGCTGGATTACGAAATAATCTAAAACTATGTAGGTAGGTTCCTACCTATTATTGTCCATGTGGAGACTCAAATAATAAGTTTAATCAGTGCTCCCTAGTTGTTTGTACTTGTATGTTGTTCCGTAACAAAAATGTCCAAAAGAAAAATAACAGGTTTTTGATCACAGAGTAAAATAACTAAAACTCCAGAGCCCCAAGATTCTCATCTTGAAATGATTGACACGGATTTAGATGAATTGCCTACACCTACCTCTACAACAAATGTTAAAGGAAAAATATTTTATAATAAGAAATGGGAAATTGATTTTCCGTGGCTTCATTTTGATGTTCAACGTAATGGAGCTTTTTGCAAATTGTGTGAAAGACATGCTGTAAATGATTCCGTATTATTGACAAGCACATCAGGAGGAGTTTTCATTAAATCACCATTTAATAATTTAAAAAAAGCACTGGGAAAAGACGGTAAATTAAATAAACACAACAATTCTGCATCACACGTTCGCATTAAATACCTAGAGCAAGAAAGACTGACTTTGGTATTCTCAAAAAATCCTGTTTATTGCCAAATTTTAAATCAAATAGTTCCAAAGAATGGAAAATCCATAGATAAAATTTCTCTCTCTTATGTCGCTCAATTTATTTTTCGGTTAAAGAACATAACCAAATATGAACCTTTAGTTAAGCGTTTAATTATGAAAAATAGTGCATCATTTAAAAATTGGACCGTCACAAATAGTGATGGATCTACATTTATTAGCAAATCTACAGCTAKTAAGCTTTTATGTTGTGCATCAGAAATATTATGTAAGAAATTAAATAATAAGGTATTGGAAAATAATTTTTTTTAATGGCCTATGAAAGCACAATTAATGTTAATAATAAATCTGAATTATCTATATGTATTCGTTTTGTTAAAAATAATCAACCAGTTGAACAATATCTTGGTATTAGAGATTTATCTGATACTAAAGCCGATACAATTGTAAAGGAAATAAGTTCTGAATTATCAAAACACAATCTATCTTACCAAAATATTATTGCATGTGGCTTTRGTAGGGCTACAAACATGTCGGGAAATAAAAGTTGTGTTCGYAGACTTATTAGTGAAAAAGCTGGAATGGAAGTTCCTTATATACATTTTCGAGTACATATATTATCACTTACACTAACTAGTATGCGTAATAAATTTCCAAAAATTAAACACGTGTTTTATGTCTTAAAATATATTTATAAATTATTTCACCAATCACTCAAACGTGAGGAAATACTTCACAGAGTGCAAGCTATAATTAGTGATCCTGTTTTAAAAGTACCAGAGACTATAGAAATCCGTTGGTTAGACCACTACAAAATCGTCCATGCGATCAAAAAGTCGTATATTGCTATTGCTACAACTTGTGAACATATACATCAAGATGGAACCAATTTAGCCTCATTATCAGGTGGGATTTTTTTAAGTCTCCRCGAAGAAAGTTGTATTATATCGTTRAGTGAATTAGACGACATACTAAGTGCCGTTTCTAATTTAAGTTAATTAAAAGTACGAAAGATCATTTAAATCAAATTACAGAAAGTTTAAAACAAAATTTCTATAGTATAACTATAATTAAAAATGCTACCAAAATTTCAAATAGACTTAATTAATTTAAAAAAGGTGATGGTATTAAAAATACCTACATAAAGGTTTTATAGAACAAATAATAAAAGAGATGGATCGTCAATTTAATGATATTGCAGTTGAGCCTCATAGAAGAGKGTTCAATATTTGAAAATTATAGTACGTTATCAAATGCATCAGAAAAATTGATTGAACAATAATTGTGATCTATATCAGATCGATATCTGAATATGATAAAGACTGCATAATATTAGATTTCAAGTCTTTTAAATTTGTAGCTTTGAATAAAAAAGAAATAGGTGGAAACCCCATATCTGAACTTTTTGAAGTTAATATGGGTTATCAACATTTAAGAAAATTAGCAGAATCAGTTTTATACATACCAAGGTTAGGTTTATGCCACTGCTACAGTTGAACAATCATTTAGTGAAATGAATCGAATTATATCAAAACTTTGAA